TGGATCACTTTCCTCATGGGTGCAGGTCAGCATCCCCTTAGCCCAGCATGGGAGCTTTTGGTCTCAAATCCCCAAAACATGCCGAAGATAATCGTGGTAGAAGCCATCCCCCACCAGTGAGGCCAGTGGCCTGAGAAAGGCTGTTTCGGCCCTTACAAAGGTTCCCTGTGGCTTTGGTGAGGACGCCCCTCTCCCATGTCAGTGTGGGGTCTCCCTGGACCCTTCCTCCTGCCACTTACTCTCTGCTGATGGGGGCTTGATGCTCCCTAAGCGGAAGGTTCTGTGGGTCACACGTGGCTTCAGCCACGTCCCGTGCGGCGGCAGGTGGGGGTCCGTGCGTCACACCGCTGCGCCATCCCTACCTGTCACTGCCAGCCAGGCCCGGACCCCCGGTGGGGCTGGGCTGTCACCGCACAGCACGGAGCTCTCACGACGGAGGACTTACCTTTCTTTGCCGTCCTGTGGGCCGTGCCCTGTACCGCAGCCAGGAAGGGGGAGCTCTCCAGACGCCGAGGTGTATTTTTACTTCCAGGCGTGGAGTATGTATCCTCACCTGGCGGCTCCAGGGAAGGCGCATGAATCACTGGCTGAGGCGGTGGGGTGGGGGTGGGGTCGTGGTAGGCGGAGGGCAGCCCACTGTTCTCTGGGTCCCACTCTCTCAGAAGCACTCCCTGGTCCCTACACACCCCCCCTGCCTGCCCAGGAGACCAGGGAGCCAGACCAGCCCCCTCCCCAGGCTAGAACAGGGCTCTCCCGGTCCCTAGAAGGAGCTGGGGGCTGGAGGCTGGCCCAGCTGTGTCGCCATCCCAGGGTGGGCGTGTGTGGCGTCTGGGAGTCTGGGGTCCGGCGTTCAGCTCTCAGCTTCCCTGTGCCTTCCCCTGCCCCTGCAGCCCAGGGCTGCGAGGGGACCCGAGGACACCGGCCAGCTTGCTCCCGGGCATCAGCCTCCTTGTACAGACGAGCAAACTGAGGCACTGTGCGCAGGTGGCTGACACAGGTGGGTTTCTCGACGGGTCCTCTTCAGAGGGAAGCAAGCACCAGGGCCTTTGGGGAAACGAGCTGGGATGTGGCTGCCCCAGGGTTGGGGGGCGGTGAGGGTAGCAGGGCACCTGGGAGCTCTCTTTGCTCCAGGTGGCCCAGGCCAGGCCATCAGGTGCAGCGGCAGCAGCAGGGGGTCCCCTGGGCCCTGGTGCCCAAGCCCCGTCCTCAGCCCGCCCCCCACGCCGGCGGCTCCGATGGGAATGTGAGTCCAGCGTGGCTGGAGGGCTGCCCTTGCAGGGCCAGCGGTGTGCCTTCCTGGCCGGCTCCCGGGGCTGGCCGGGCTCCGCGCGCAGCGCTGCCATGTTGATGTTAAAACACCGCTGCAGCTGCGAGACTCGGCTCTGAGCTTCCGGAGCCCGGCGGCTGCAGGATGGCCGGAACTGCCACTGGTCCCTGGAGCCCTGCGGGGGCAGCCTCAGGCCTCGGCAGCGACTGCCTGAGCTGTCTCGTCGCCCCCGGGGCCCCTGGATGCCAGCCTGCGTCTGGATTTTCAGAGGCTTCCTCTCTCTCTTTTATTGTGTTCCCAGGTGGGGCAGATTTTAGCTGTTTTTCCACCAGGGCCCTTTGGAAAACGGTGCCCAGAGCTCCAGCTTCCTGGCCTAGTCTGTGAGGTCAGCCTTGTCCCCTCTGCTGGCAGCCAGTGTGGGGAGTGAGATCCGGCCAGAATGGGGCCCCAAATGTGCACTGGGGCCACGCCAGGAGGCTCAGGGGGACCTGAGAGGGATGGTGGTACCCAGCTCTGCACCGAAGGCTTTGCCTCCCAAGGAAGTCCTCCCTGCCCATGAGCTTGGGAATTGTTCTTTCTTGGGGGTGGGGTGGGGGGATGGACACCAGTAGCAGGCTGCCCCTCCCTCCCTCCAGCCCTTCCACCTAGAGACACCTCCCCAAACCTTAGCACCCATGTCCATAGCCCCTCACACACCTGCCTCATCCTCTCTCCTCTTCGGTGTCCACAAGAAGAGCCCTGGGAGGCACTGTGCCTCATCCGACTCACACAGGGCCTGGCGCACAATAGGTGCTTGGCGCACAGTAGGTGCTCAGCAAACCCCTGCACACATTTGGGAAAGCGCCATAGTTCATGCTTCAGATAGTCTTGTGGGGAGAGAGTATGATTTTTATGAGCATCAAATCATGGAGTTTTACAGCTGAGGCCAGTGCTGATTTCACAGAGCCACAGAGGATGCCAGAAGTGCCTATATCTTGTCACTGTTTTATTCTTTTTCTTAACATATATTTTAAAATTTTTGGCCACACTGCGCGGCTCTTGGCATCTTAGTTCCCTAACCAGGGATTGAACTCGGGCCATGGCAGTGAGAGTGTGGAGTCCTAACCACTGGACCGCCTGGGAATTCCCATCACTATTTTATTTTTAAATTTAAAGCTCCTGAATGATGTGCACTTGCTTCTGAAAGGTAGGAGCAGGGTTGTCTCAAGGTTAAAAAGAGTGTGGATTGTACCTCTCTCTCCTGAGAGGAACCCCCCCCCCCCC